ACCCCAACAATGGGAAAACTGATCTAAAGCACATATGCCTGTTATGGATGTAATATATTAGTAGTGTTTTTCCTCAGTATCTTTGATTTTCAAGATGAAAACCCACTGGATTATTTTATGGGGCCAACTGTTTTCACTTGTGTACCAGTGCAGAAGAAAGAGCACCCAATGGGAAATCAGAAGGTAGGACTAAAATCCCTGCCCTAGTTTATGACCACAATCAGTGTGCTCATCTGAGCATTAAGCTGAGCATTAAGCTCATCAGAGCTCTCGGCTTCTGCTTCCTCATCTGGAAATGGGAGCCCAGGGGATTCACAATTTAGTCATGAGGACCAAATAATAACCTGAGTATAACAGTACTAGCTCAGTGCCTGGCCCACAGTTGGGGCTCAGTAAATGACAGCTAAACAGCAATGTAGTGGGACTCTGTGTACTACACATGAGATTTGGAGGCATATTTGATGGTAAGTTTAGGTGAAGAAATTGGACATGTCCGTGTTCACATAATATGATTCATGTCTACGCTGCTGTTGCTGCTGCTGCTTTCCTGTAACCAATTTTAGAGCCTATCTTGGCAGCTGGAAATATTTGGGATTAATTTCACACTCACTTTATGAGTTGAGAGTTTTCCTGCAAGCAGCTCCCTGGGCCTCTGCCTCATTACTTTGGCATCAACTGATATGGCAGTTGGACAGAGATGTCCTTTGGGGTCCCCATTTTATTTGGAATCCTTCAATTCGAAAAAAGGCCATCAACACATCGTGCTTGAAATCATTAGCATTTATTGTTTCTGAAACCCCTCCCTTTCTATAGACCTGTTGAACACCAGGGAACACATCTTGCACAGCCAGTGATGAGCACTGAAAAATTATTCTCCCTCAAATTTAAGCCCTAGCAGCTGGTTGGCCTCATTTCTCAGTTCCAGGTGAGCTGCAAGATCCTCTAGGCCCTGGTCAGACAGATCTAAATCTTGATGGGTCTAGTTTTTCCATCCCTTTTTACTATGTTAATTCTGCTAAATTCATTTGGCTCTCGAGGAGAACAAAGTAAACTTGGCTGTTATGTGTAAAACTAAATTGAGAACATGGAGATCTGTTTAGTATTTCATGCTGGCCAGTAGGTCAGGAAGATTTTCCTTGGGGGTAATTTACATAAGGAATTGTTTATCCTATTTCTTTCCAATTTCTGTGACCATTTGGGGATAGCAGACTCTTTCCACAATGGCACAGAAATATATCCAGTGAGACTGAAACTTAGAGAAATGATGCTTCTCCTGGATTGATGTATTTTGGGTCTTGCTCAGGAAAGATCCTGTGGCTTGGGCTGCTGTCTCACTGAGAAGTCATTCTTCCACCACAGCTGTGTTTAGCAAGTTGGGTGGGTCCACGAACTGACATGCTGTTAAACTTAGTAAGAATTTTCCCTTGATAGTGAGAAACGTGAATAAAAGCCTCACTTAAGTCCCAGCAAATGCCCCAAATGTTTGCTGTGATCTGGTGGCTGCTTAGAGCACAGCTTCCATCAAATAATACCCCCATTCAGAATGCTCTGTGGCTCCCCAGTACCTGTAGCATTAAGTGCACACTCTTCACCTTGACATTTTGTTCCTCTACAACAGTTGCCCAGAATGGCCTTTTGTGTCTCATCAAATGCTGTTTCCAAACTGAAATATTTGCTCCTTCCTGAATAGGTAGCCTCGCTTTTGTGCTTTAATGCATTTGTTCAGGTTGTTTTACATTTAAAGCCCCTTTACCCAATATCTGTTCTTGAGGACAATATCTGTTCAAGAGATACCTTGAAGACATACCTTCTCAGTGGCGCGCTGGTAAATATTTAACAACTGGCTCTCTGGGAGGAGCGGGATGGGTGGGAAGCCTAACTTTATAGCATTTGTCAACTTGCATGTTGTAAATACTACCACCATGGCTGATTTCAAGCTTTTAGTGTGAGGTTACTGAATGCAGAGTTGGGAAGAAATGGGCAGTAGCCCACCTTGCAGAGTGTTTCCAACATGTGGATGCAATAGGCATAAATAATCTCAAGGACCAAGATAACAGTAAAATAATTAGGAAGTAATGAGTTTTGAGTATTTATTATCTCTGTTTTCATGTAACTAATTTTAAATTTATATAATTTAATTTTTAGTAATGGCCACGTTTAACAACTGGTTCACAAAATTCCTGAAAAGCGAATAATTGGTCCTTTCTCCTGGCTGAGCCGCTTCCAATACTCCATGCTTCTTCCACCTTTTCCTTCCTGAGGTCCTCCGCACTCACTAGTAGTTAGGCCCTTCTCTGAACCTTTAAGGTGCTTCATTCAAGTCTCATGCAGTCTTTAGAGTGAGAGACTCTAAGTTTGAATCCTGATCTCTTATTTACTAGATGATGGTCAGACTGGCTACTGAATTTGCAATTTCCAGTGAAAATGAAAATGCAAGGCCCTTGTGAGAAGGCAGAAGAAAGTGCTATTAAAACAGCTAATAAAATATAAAGCTTTTTCCTTTCTTCTGTGGTCTCTCTTTCACACCTTCTGATGGTGTTTTTATTTTCTATGTAATGTCATTCCAAGTAATGAAAATTAAAAATTTAAATTGTTAGCATGAATTTTACAGTTAATCTTTATATTGTGCAATGCCAGTTTTAAATGCAAATATAACAGCATTTAAATCTCTGAGATAATGAACTTATCGCCTCTGGTCATGTTCATGCTCCATTGTCCTACTGACTTCACTTACAAAGCACAAATTCAAAAATAAAATTAAGAATTTCAAGACAAAGATAATAGGGCCTTAAACCAAGCATGGAGCCCTTCTAAGCACTGTATATAGTACTGGGCACATTCCTTACATCTGCTGAGCCTTGGAGTCCTTATCTGTAAATGGAGATCTTACCAACTAAGTCACAGTGGAGGCATGAGGATTGAAGGCACTGATACCTGTATGGCACAGAGCAGATTGCTTGGCATATAGCCCCTGCTCAATTAATTGGAGGGATTATTGTTAACATAATAATCATAATGTTAGTGGCATTCTCCTCTTTAATAGTCTATAGGGTCTTCCCTACATTGTCAACATTTGCCTCCTTGACCTATTTTCCTTTCTCCATTATAAACTCTTTGAAGGCAGAGGTTAGATCTGTCACCTTTGGACTCCCTATAGTGCTTCCTGCAAATTCTTGCCCATACCCACCACTCAGGAGGTGGTTATTGACGTTATCTTTGTATAATTCGGGCTTATGACAATAAGCATCTGTGTTATAATATGATGGCCCCCACAGTGAGGCTTAATTTGTAACATTCATTGGAAGAAAAAGAACATAAGCTTAGACTTTAATAGGAGTCAGTTGTGATTATGGTGAGAGTGAGGGAAGCAGATGATTCCAGGTGTTTTGGTTTAAGGAAAGTGACCTCTCTGTCTCTTCGAGGGGACTTCTTGAAGTAATGGGGAAGGGATGAGTTCCAAGCCTCATTTGAGTAAAAGAGGCCCCCGGGATATTAACTCTGGCCCATAGTAATCTGTCCTTTAGCTAGCTTCTTTCACACTTACTTTCTGTTCTGCACAATTAGGACGTTATTACAGTAATGTTTCTTTCTACTAATTGGTTGTGTATGTATGTTTCCTGTCCAACAAATTATAAGATCCTCATGAGTTGTAGGATATCATGTACTTCTGAGTGTAAATGGGAAGTAGCACAGTAGCAGGCACACGGTAAGCAGCGTGCTTTGTTGTAATGCCGACCGTGGTCCAAACTACCAGGGCTCGCTGTAGAACCGAATGTGAATTGTGATTGCCTTTTGTAATTCCTGCAAGCCCTCAACCAAGTGGTAAAGAAACCTGGTTTGCCCAGCATTGTCAGGCAAAGGCCTTCAGGTGCTTTGTCTTTCTCTAACCTACCTCTCCCAGACTCTCTGAAGACAGTCCCCCCTGCAGCTCCTCTCCTGCATGGCATTTGGGAGACCACACAGCTGTAGACTGTACTTGTTTGAATGTTGAATTTTTACTAGGCCCTTTGGGCCAATGTCAGTAAGCCATGAAATATCACCAAATAGATCATCTGCGCTAGACTTCTGAAACTCATCTGAGCTCCAGTTCCTCAAACTGTCCGGGACTTGTAGAAAGGAGCTCACATTGCCCTGGCTTTTGCTATTCCTGTTCTGGGGGCTGTCAGACGCCTTGAGCCTCTGGGCCAGTCAGTTCATTACCTTTAATGAGCACAAAATTCACCAAGACATTAAAATAAAATAAAACGCCAATGGGCAGTCTTGGATGTTCTATCCAATTGTTACTTTAGTTCTTTTTTCCACAGGACTATTCAAGAGGATGAAAAAAAAGCCAATTCTATTGACTCCTGCCAATTTTATCCTAAGTAGATTTGGCATTGTAAAGCTAACACACCCTGAACATTTTTTTTTTCTTTCAGGTCCCTATAGGCTGGTGCCTGACAATTGTGTTAAAAATGATATTGTCTGGTCAAATGTTTGAACATTATCTACCTTTCAGACATAATAAATATTGGCTATCTTAACACTATTAGCATGTAAAAAATAACAATCAGAGGAAGACAGTTATTTTCTAAAAGGGTATAATGAAGTAATTACTCTAAATCACAAGGCAGATGCAGTTACTTTGATAAGAATTTTTTAAATTGATCAATCTCAATGACTAGTAATAAAGACTGTAGTAACTGTACTGGAGATTACTTATATATTATAGAAGGTGAATCAGTGTTGAAGCAGACACCGAACAATGTTGCCATTAAGCTGATTTCATGGATATTTTCATCTCTTGGCCATATGGATTTGGAATTACTTTGAGCATTTTTTTTTAAAGAAGGAAGTGAACAGATGAATGATAACTCTTTTATTACTCAACATAGCTTGTGTTTGTGGAAGACAAAGTTCATCAAGTTGTTTTAAAGAAAAACAAGAGTGTGCCAAATGTAATTTGTTGAGGGCTCAAGAATTGTGAAATTATCCCTAACCGAAGTTCGTAATTTCTGCAGGTAATCGCTCTAGCAGACGCAGTAGAGGAAAACCAAGACAATCTGTTCCAGTCATTCACCAGGCTGAAGAGTGCCACCCATTTGGTGATTCTGCTGATCGGGCTGTGGCAAAAGCTTAGCACTGACCAGATAGCTATTCTGGAGGCGACATTTCTGCCGCTGCAGCAGGATACTCCAGAACTGGTAAGGATCCACAAGCCTGCAGTGGTAACAGCTAGCATTATTGAAAAGATTGTGGTTTTAGGAAGATGTCACATGGCTATCATGTTTTCTAAGGTATCAAATGAAGGCTTTATTTTGTTTTGTTTTTTTAATTCAAATCCTGTTTTCCTTTTCTTCAAACTATAGTAAAAGTGTCAAATACAGGCCTTTTTTGTAGAGCTATTTAAAAAGTAGGTATATAGTCCATTTTTATGTGGTATCCAGTCTTTTTTATGTGCTCTTCAATCACTTAGAAGCCAGGGAAAGAGTCATTTGACCGCCTGAGTGATGGCAGTAAACCTTCAGATTAGCTAATCCTTTCCTTTTCCACCAGAGAAAACAGTTCAGCCATTTTAATTTGCTCAACATTCTTAAATTTAAGTGTCACTTCAAGAGTTAGAGAAAACTGAGATAGCCTTGCTAAATGACAAGAATATTTTGTTACATTTATATAGTTTTTTATATGTAGTTTATAAACTCTTTTACTCTTGACCCTTTGAATAGGCAGTTTAGAACAAAAAAAGGAAGAAATAGGGTTTGTATTTCAGTACTTCACCCATTTGTTTTGGGTGAACAATGATATAAATAAAAACATCTTTGATCCCTTGAATTCGTAGAGGTATATGACCACCAGGTACCATTTTTTGCATGATTTTATTTACAAAGAAATAATATACTTCTTAGAAATTAGAAACCCTTGATTTTTTTTTTGTATTAGAGAAAACCGTTTCGAGAAAAAAGTCATTTCAGATTCATTTTTAAACATAGCTATGAGAACATGGTACTGAAAATAATACTACTAAAACTAACATTTTTGGGTGCTTACTAGGTTCCAGGTGCTATTTTAACTATTTCACAAGGATTATCTCATTTAACTTTAACATGGACCTATAATATAGTTAAGGTACTGTTTTCAATCCTTATTTTACATATGGGAAAATTTAGGCTTTGAGAGTTAAGTAACTTTCTGAAACTAGTGGGTGGTAGAGCCACAGTTTCGACCTGAGTCTGTCTGCTTCCAAAGCACGTTTTTAACCTGTCTACTATATTTAGCAAAGTCATGAACACAATTTTGAAAATCACAAGCTTTGTCAATTAAATCTAATTTTCTACAGTTGAGTTTAAAAATTATCATAGTAAAAGAAATCAATCTATAGTTTATATCATCAGCAAAATAGTGAAAATAGATTGGAAAAAAATTTACAGTACACATTTTTTAAATTGATTAAGTTACAGCTAAAATTGACCTTTGAGGATCAGAAATGTAGACACTGTAATACTAGAAAATAACAAATGCAATGGTTAGAATTATTTTAATAAGAATAATAGCTATCACTTATGAACTCAGATTTAGTAGTCAAAAAGACTTGGGTGGCCTCAGATCTTGGTTCTACCACTTAATGGCAAAGTCCTTCTGGTCAAGTTTCTTAACTGATCTAAATCTCTGCTTCTGTAGCTATAAAATGGGAACAATTAAGTTACCTGCCCAATAAATTATAATAAGAATTGAATGAGGTGATTGAATAGAGTGCTAATCATCATTAGAAGTGGTTTCTGCATTTTATGTTTATTATTTGTCATCCTTACTAAAGTCATGCAAGGTAGATATTGCTACCTTTTCACAGGGACTTGTCTCCTCGACTACACTTGCGGGCAAGAATTGTATCTTACTCATTTTAATATTCTCAGTGCATGGCACAGTGCCTCACCATAGGGCAGTCAATATTTGTTAGGTAAATGAGTGGAGAAAAGGGTGAAAGCTAACAGGAGGTAACTGGCGGAACAGATGCAGTGGCTCTAATCTGGATCGTGAGGAAGCAGGGCAAGGCCAGCTGTGTAATTTACAGGTCTCAGTGCAAAATGAAAATGCAGATAACCTTGTTCAAAAAAGTAAGAAAAAATGCTAAAGTGCTGTTAAACAGATACTAAAAACATAGCTTTTTAGTTTCTGTGGTCTCTCTCTCATCATGGTGTTTTTGCTTGCTATTTATTTATGTTCTAAATAAAGAAAAATTTAAACAATCACTACAATTATACAATTTGCATTTGGTAGCTCATACATGCATCTGTATTCTGTTTTTACAGAACTATAGAATCACTGCACAAAGCTTAATTGTCTTTATTTCACTTCTTAACATGTGCACATGTACCAACATTTCAGCTTCCTGCTGAGTAAGGAAGGACTAAAGGAAAAGGAGCTCTGTGTCACTCTGTTTCCCTTTCCTTCTATGTTATCATTTTCAGTGTAAGTGGCTGGATAATACAGGGAAGTAACAGGCGTATAGTGGGTTTCCTTAGTCATTCCTGTTTCTTTGAATCTATTCCCTTCTTTCTTCATTCAAAACAAGTTCTGGTTCAAATGAAAAGCCTCTTGGGGCTTTCAGTTCCTTTGCTTAATCAGTCTAGACGTAACAGGCCTTCCTCCTGCTTACTTTGAGTCTCCATGAACTCCCACTCATCCTGGGGCCACGGGAATTCTGAGCTCACAGAGCTGTATGTGAATAGGGGAAAGGAGGAAGGATGCTTGCATATTGTACATATTTTCCCTTTGCACACACGCTTCATTGTCTCATCAGACTTCACTTACAAAACACTTATTCAAAGATAAAATTATTAAGGATTTCCAGAAGGCGACAACAAAGCATTAAACTGAGCATGGGGCCCTGTGCAGTCACACAGCTCACATGCTCCTGAAGCTGGCCCTGAAGCATGGTTAGACCCAAAGGAAGAATTTCTTAGAAATAAACGTTCTCAAATGTAGAAATTGAGTCCCAAGAGAAATTGTGGTATTTCCGACTCTAGAGATCTTTAGAAACAGCCTCATTTTCCTAGGAGTAGATAAGTACGCTCATCCCTGCAGGCGGGTGAATGGACTTAGCATCTTCTCAAAGCCCTTTCTACCCTGCCTCTGTATTCTCTGCTGTCACACCTCCCAAAACATGTAAGGGAAAATGATTGCAACTCTTTCCTGAATTTGGTGAGATTGGAAGGTGTGTATACTCTTTATGTCTATTGAAGTCATTAATGAGACAGGACATTTGATAAAAACATAACTTGGAGAAGAATGAATCAAAAAAGACATTTTAATACTGCTTGTTATGCTCTTCATTTTTAATTAGGTTTGGTATTCACTTTGGACTTATCCTGTTGAGACAGTTTATATATCTTGAGGAAAAAGAAGGAATCCTTTTTCATTCTTTAAGACGTACCCATGCAGTATGTGGTTTTGACATGCTAGTTCACAGTCCTCCACATTATGCCTTTAGACCTCACAAATAAATGTTATATGATGGGTATCCTGCTGAGATGTGAAAATGAAATATGCAAACCTGAAATAACTTGGAAGGAGGGTGAGGCGGGAAAGAAAGAAGTCTCTGACCAGAACGTTGAAAATATATCCCATATTGAAGTTATTACGATACCACAAAAATCTGAATGTAATTTTGATGGTTTGGTTGAGGGTGGATGGCAGAGTACGTGTGTGAGGGGGAGAACTTTAGACATGTGGGCAACATTTTCAGAAGAGACTCCCAGTTCAAGGTCAGATGTCCCCACAAATATTGAGAGATAGGGGAAAGTGCTCAGAAGGTATTTTATTTATGGTTCAAATAACACTGCATAATGGTTTGTGGATTGTTATTTAGATGGCATGTGTCACAAGGCAGGTTAAATACCATAGTCAACTCAGGAATATGTTCTTCTTAATAGCCTCAGATTCACAAAGGAAAAGTGTTTAGAATTTATTATTGCTAATGAATAAAGTTATGCTATTTATTAGCAATAATAAATAATACTGGTAACATAGTTCTTTGCACTATAATATCAGTATTTTAAAAAATGTCATCCCATTTGGAACAAAATTCATCATTGTTTTCCTTGATCTGTCTCTTTAATAATGATTTTCTATTTTTGTCACTTCTCAGTAGTATTTAGGGGGTGAATAAATGTTGGTGTTGCAGACTTTAAATGCGATTTTTCTAAGGCACTGTAAGTTATATATGCCCAATGTGTTTTTGTAGGAATACTCCCTTTCACTTTAAGAAATACATTGAATGTTCTATTTAGTGTTTCCAAAAAGAGCTCTTAAACTCAGTTCCAACTGTGGATTTGGTACAGTATTGTCTCTATTGTCTTCCTGTGATAATGAAGAAGTTTTGCCTCAAATAATGTTCTATTCCCACATAGGAAAATTCTAAAGTGAATTGTTTTCTTACTTTTCAAGTTAGGGGCTGAGGATATTTCAGAGTAGTTTAAATTCTCAGTGTAGAATTTAAATATGCCTGTACTGATCCTCTATCAGCTTGAAGAAAATACTGTCACTACTTAGGTCAATGTGTTACTGATTTGAGTCCAAGAGTGTTTAGTTGTCTTATTACACACATCTCCCTGTATGATGTTGTATAGAAGCCAAAAACTGCTAAACTGTATATACCTCAGGATTGACCTAAGAGGAAAAATCTTTTATCCAGCCATTTATTCATTCAACGAATATTTATTGAGCCCCTGCTTTGTTTCAGGCAGTGATCTAGGTACTTAGCATACCTCAATAAACCAAATAGACTTAGTACCCCTCCTTTGTGGATTTACTTCAACATAGCAAGCAAACATATTATAGTCATATTCATCCATAAACATGTTGGCTGTCTATTATGGCAGCCACTTGCCATATGTGGCTATTTAAAACAATTTTTTAAATTGAAGTATAGTTGATTTACAATGTTATATTAGTTTGGATATATAGTAGTTTGTATCTGCTAATCCCAAACTCCTAATTTATCCCTCCCCACCTTTCCTATTTGGGAACCATACCTTTGTCTGTGAGTCTGTTTCTGTTTTGTAAATAAGTTCATTTGTATCATTTTTTTTAGATTCCATATATAAGTGATATCATATATTTGTCCTCTTTCTGACTTAACACTTCACTTAGTATGATAATCTCTAGATCCATCCATATTGCTTTATATGGCATTATTTCAAAGTGC